GACTCCGCTGACGACTGTAGATGGAGGAGGTGGCTGTGGACGGAGAAGATGGAGAAGAAAGAGAACAATTCCAGTTAAATTTTTATTTTATTTTTATTTATTCAAGTCATTGACACGTGTCAAATTGCGATTGGGTTTCGATAAAAACTACATGCCATGTCAGCTTATCACGTGATACTATGCAACTACCGAATACTTTCTCGATCAGTAGAGTATTTCATAAGCTTGAGTTTACCTATTTGGATGTAGGCTTCCGAGTTACTGAAAAGATATTACCCTCGTGCATGAATTTGATAAACAGAAACTACAATCAAAATTTTTAGGTGCCTTCTTTTGCGCTTAAGAAAAGATGATCAGGGTCACGACCAATATACCCCAGTGGAGTGCACGGTTGTACATAAAAGAAATTCAAGCCTCTAGTAACTGTGACCGAAAAGAAAGGGAAACAAAAGATAGAATTTGGTATTACTGGAGACAACTTTGAGAAAAAAAAAATGGAAATTTTTTTCCCAATTGGCCATTCAAAGTTGAAGTTCACATCCGTCTAGTTAACTTAAGAATCTAACTAGGAGGAGACACAGCCTCGATGTGGCACTAGAAATTCCACATTTATGTGATAATACATTTTTTATTGTAGGGATTGACCAATGTAAACTGAGTCACATAATTTCAATGTAATATTGGCTTTCGAATAGCTTGAAGTTATGTGATAATTGACCTTAACCCATAAGAGGTTACGTTTCGACTACGCAAGTAAATGACACAAACACTACAAAACAATTAATAGTGTTGGATATATGTACATAAGATATTAGATATATCATGAACTGATAAGCCGAAACTTTAAGCAACTCATAGAATATCAGTGTTTCGGCCGACCTAAAGTGTTTCCGACCATAAGCAAACGAATGGACTAAAATGTGTTTCAATGAAGATTGAAAACATATACTAGTTCTTCTCTCGCTAGGGTGGTTTATCCAAGTTGGGCCTGTGGAACTTTCACTTCAAATGATGCATGGAAGCTGGTTGAAGGCTGTGATGGCAAAGTTCCCTGGTTCAGGCTCAGTTGGGTTTCATTGTCTGGTTGATCATATTTGGATAGACTGCAGACTATTGGAAAATCGAGAAAGTGGTGTGACATTCATAGTCAATGTGCAGCATGAAAACACCGCGAGGAGATCGACTAGGAATCATCACTGGCGAAAGGAACATGAAACTGAACTAATAAGAGTTGTCTTTTGCTGATAAAACGCAAGTTCCAGACGAGATGAAGGTGATCTACAGGATAGAGATTAGTATGTGATAAAACATAAAGGTCATTAGTATGTAATAGGTTACACAGGAAGTGAAAATTAGGATAGAAATGTAAAGACAGTAATGCAATAATCATGTGAAAAAGCCTTGTTACATGAGTAGGTTAAAGAAAACACGCATACGACGGTGTAAATCCCAAATGAATTGCCCTGCAAGTTTGAACTCTTGACAGATGAACGTACTATAAGATGTTAAACCAACTACCCATTGTTAAACGAGTCATTACTAGAGATTACCAATGGTATTAGTTAAGCTATGTTTTATATGCGATTAACAATAGCCGGTCTAAGAATTACTTTAATCTGAAATACCCACTTGGGGAAAAACTTAGGTGACCATCTCTTGTAGGCAAGTCCACAAGAGATGGCCACCTAAGTTGTTGGCAAGTCCGCGTCCATCTTTGTTCATTACAACTCAATGTATTATCCGAGCTAATTTACGAGTAGTACCTAATGTGATGGATCTTGTTCCGGCGAGAAAAGAGATGACCCCTTCGTATCGATTGCAATCCCAATTAACCAAGTTTCGATCAACTGGTATGACGCGAGACCTAAGCCACCTGATTGGGAAAATACCTACTCAAGCGAATTTGTAATGGATAGAGGATCTTCAGCGAAAATTGAGATCATACCAAGGGTATGTCTTGGGCGGGTAGGTCATGGCAAAATACCGGATGGTTCATGCTTCACAGATCATGCAGAAAACACTTCCAATGGCAATCAGTATGGTAGTAAAAAAACCCCGACCCAACTCGATCCGGACCTATTCGAAGACCAAGGATGATTACTAACCATTGATTAGGTTCTGTTCGAGTAAGCCCGGCCAGATCCGAACCATTGACACGCCTAATAATTAGGTCAAAGCATAGTTTGGAATGTCCCCGTGGATCACATCCCACCGCAAATGGCAAGGACCATCTCTCGTCCGTTAGATTGGGGTGAGGTTTGGCTGCTTGTAGAATGATTTTCGGGCCGAAGAGTCACATCCTCATTTGAGCTAAGAGTCTCGTCCACGCATTTAAGAGAGGGGGGACTTCCACCGTCCAGGAAGACGGTGCCCCATTCATGGTCATTCAATATCGTGATGAATGACGACCGCCATCGTACCATAGATCACATGAGCGCACATGAGCATGCATATCTTTGTTAAGAATTCGTTGTACTTCGCAGGAAATAAATAATTTAAAAATATATATATTTTAAAAAGAATGCACGTATCACTTATAAAAATTAGTTAATAAAAAAAATTTCATACGTTTTCGTGGACGATAAAATTATTTTTCGTTTATTCATTTTCGTAAGCGATGCGAATAATTATTTTTAAATTTTTTTTTTTGCAAATCGTTTATTTTTCCGTGAAACAAACGAAGAATCTTATATATAAGATTGGAGCATGTGTTCTTCGTTAAATCGCGTTGTGTTTATTATATATCTTCCTCTTTTGAACAAGATAGGGGCTGGGGCTCCGAGTTCGTGTTGTATGTTAATGCAGCTATAGAGATTCCATAACAGGTAGATAATTCCTTATTGTCGTCAGGGAAATTTGTTATGTATATGACATAGTTGTTGTACTGTGTGAGAGAAGATGGTAAAAATCTCCCAAAGGAATTACCTAATGGGATGAGTTGCGAAAAAGATGTTGGAATTTGCAATAATTGCTAATTTTCCACATTAATACTCATTACAACTAATGTTCCATCTTTTGCTGGACAAGTCATCGATCGGAATTGCATGTAAGGGTGAGCGGTTTCAGGTTTCATTCCAGGTTCCGTACAGGTTCCACCTGAAACATAAAACTTACATGTTTCAACAGTTCCCTCATTTTTTGGAACTTAAAACTTACCCTGTCACGGGTTACAAGGTTAATTCCAGAATTTACCTAGGTTCCACCGGTATTATTAGTTGCACGATTGTAGTGAATCATCACCTTTAATGACCACAACTTACTGCTACAATTTACTGACCACAACTTATATTTAGACATACGAAGAATATGAAATATTAACTAAGTAAAAGTCTTAGTCATAAAATGAAAGCTCGGACCAGCGGTTCTGGATTATACACTTATCGTAGGATGCCATGTAATACCGCAGGATCGCGGGAAGACACGGACCAAGAAAAACACAAAAACTTATTCCAGATTCCACATACCTAGTATTCGAAAATTACCCGTCGAAACAAGTTCCCCAATTTTTTGAACCTGAAACTTGCCCTACGTACCCTGGAACCTGGAACCGGACAGGTTCCCACCGATCCACTTCTCAAGTTTCGGATTCTACCCTAGAATCATGCTCACCCCTAATGGCATGGATGTATATTCCATCGCGATTTTATCCTAAATTAATTTACAATCCTAGGTCCATGTGCATCTCGAGTCAAGATTCCCGATTACCCTTTACCGGACTCGGGTCCGTGTGGATCATGTCCATCGCAGTCGTAGACGCAACCGAGTCCCGCTTGAGTAATATTATGTAAATGGTGAACGATTGGACTAAAACTTCCCAACAAAAATGGCCAAAAAATCCGTTGACTTTCCTCTCGCCCCACCCAAACAAAACAGTCGAGAAGAAGTCAACAGAAGACTTCCCGTATCCGCCACTTCGCATGTGGTCAAAAACAGCGACAAAAAAGGTCGGAATTTCGCAGAACCAAAATGCCCCTAGACTTTTCATTATGACATTGTCAAGCAGCGGAAAAGTCCTTAATTTCTGGAACATTGACTTTTTATCGTAATGAAGACCGTAAATTAGGTTATTAATACCTTGAAAATCGATTGCTTTCTCAAATGTCGACAACCTCATCTATATTTATATCGTTTAAGTCAAATAAAAATGAAAAAAACTTGCTTTCGCCTCGCTTTTCACAAGTGTTGATAATATCTCTTTAACACGTTTCCATGACGGTGAAAAATTTAGGTATTCAAATGTCTACGTATATAATTGCTCGTACTTCTTTCGCATCTTCTCTTTGTTTTCCGAGCCTATACCGAGTCACCAAAAGCAAATTAGCCTATACTTTTGATAGTCGTACAGGCAACTTGCTAAAAAATTCTTGTCTTATCCCTTATAAAGCTATGTAAATTCGAGGCATGTTTGTGTACACTTGAACAAAAGCATTGCATTTTCAGCAAAATTCAGAATGTTGTTCAAGTTTTCTAGAAAATCATGAAAAAAAATTTACACTTGAATTTGCGAGTCAACATTCGGGTATTGCCAAAATTTCGGGGTTTAAAAGGGAAAAAAAAAGAGGTCAAAATGCACGAGTAGCAAGATAAGCCAATCTAGACAGGCCGCGAATGGGACTTTATAATATCATCGCAACAATCATGGTGGGGCGGGGGGGTGGGGCGGCCGCGTCGGATCTAACCCATGTTTCGGAACCCTCGTCTCTTATCGAGCACGCTCGATAAGCGTATACAAAATACTCGTGAATAAAATTTTATATTTCTTAAAATATACTTAATAAGTGTATCGATAGCACTATCTAAATATTTTACATATTTGTCCAAAAAAAATATATTTTATAATAATAATAATTTTTTTTTTTTTCTGAAAAACAATTTGAGCATTGCGGTACATCAACGGGGATCTACTGGTCCCGTTGAATACGGCAGGCGCGGGTCGGTCCACCGGCTCAACTGCGCTTCATTTAAAAGGGGGTCTTCCTTCGGTCATTAATATCTCCTCCTTCTTCTTCCTCCTCCTGCTTCTCCTTCTTCCTTCTTCTGCTTCTCTCTCTCTCTCTCTCGCCGGCGAACACTGAAAGCTCCGAGCGATTCCCTCCGATTCGAGCGCCGGAGAAATGGAGTTCGCCGACGAGAGCGTGAGCGGCGGAGGAGCTGCCGCGGAGGAGGAGGCGGCGGCGGCGGCGGCGTCGTCCGGGGAGATCAGCGAGGTCGAGAGGAGCAAAATCGGCATCATGCGAGCCGTCGTGGAGCGCGAGGATCCTTCCGCTAAGGTTCTCTCTCTTCTTTTTCCGCGACTCCTTCGTCCGTTTCCCGTCGCCTTCCTTCGCCCGTGATTCGCGTGGCCCTGCTGATTCCCGCGTCGCGTCGGTGTGGAGCTGCATTTGGCTTTCTCCAGCTTTTCTGAGCTTCGGATTGGCTTTAGTCGCTGTGGACTGTGTGATTTTTGGATGTTGTCGATTTGCGAGAGCGGAATGCGTGTCCCGATCGTCGCGAGCCGAGGGAAGTGAATCGATGCTGCTCTCCGCGTCCTTAATCGCGTGTGAATATGTTCCTCATGCCGGAACGAAGCTAGAGAGCAAGATTGACTGTGATTCGAGTTGAGCTGCGTTTCTCGTCGGTAATCCGCTACTCGATTTTGTCGGAATCGGAGCTGTGTTGTCTAGTGCTCTGCGACTAGCTTCCACCCTACGCTAGTGAATCATCCAAATTCGGATGCATATGTATTTGAGCAGATAGTCGACAATGTATCCGGTGGTTTCCTTTTCATGTAGCCTCAAAGTAGGAAACTTGGCTAATTTAAATTGGCAGGCTAGTTTTAGGATTTGGTTTCTTAGATCATGCCTGTTTTTAGATTGCAAAGTCGGGTCCGTGAATTTAAATTGCCTCGTCATTACGTTATGATTTTTAGTTGCAGGATGTCGATGATTTCATGATACGGAGGTTTCTGCGAGCTCGCGATCTAGATATAGAGAAGGCTTCTAAGCTGTTTCTGAAGTACCTGAGCTGGAGACGGTCTTTTGTCCCCAATGGGGCCATATCGGCATCGGAAATTCCAAATGACCTTGCTCAGCAGAAGTTGTTTATGCAAGGTCTTGATAAAAAGGGACGGCCTATAGTAGTTGTATACGGGGGTAGACATAATCCTTCCAAAGGAAGTCTTGAGGAGTTCAAGCGTATGATACTTCTCTGATTCTTCCAGATTTTCTTCTAACCAATATGAATTCATCGCTTCATGCAATAAGGTACTGAATTCGGCTAAAGTTGAGTTGTTTTACTGAGCGCAGGTTTTGTGGTCTACAGTCTTGACAAAATATGTTCCAGGTATCTCTTCTCCATATTGAGACTCTGCACATCACAGAAATCTAAAAACATTGGAAACAGACTAATCTTCCAAAAATGAATTCCTTCAGAAGCATTCTGGTTAAGATGTCTAGCCTGTGAAGAACAAAAATTGCATGTGTCACCTTATCGCGTGATTGAAAAAGAACGGGCATATTACTTGCAAATGAAGCCCTTAAAGACTATATCTAGAGCCACCCTCCTCAACGGGAATAGTGTTGGAAAGTTTCTACTTTCGTAGACCGGTCCCTTATTGGTTTCTCGATTTCCAGTTTCCTAAAAAACCGTGATCAACCCAGGTCTTCCTTTTGCATTCGCTTACCAGTGTTGGTCAAATTTTAGCCAATAACTTGAGATGTTTCTTGGGTGCTGATCTTTCAGAATGCCTGGAGGGCAGGAGAAGTTTCTGGGCATAGCAGATCTCGAAGGATGGGGATACAAAAGCAGCGACGTTCGTGGATACTTAGCAGCACTGTCAATCTTGCAGGTTCAATCTTCTGTCTCCTGCTTTTCTTTTGAATCAAGTTGATGCCGATGAAAACATTAAACTAGAATCCAATACCTCCTTGAACAGTAGAAATGTGAAATTTTGTCTTTAAGGATTGCTTGCACCTTACCTGAAATTAGGTTTTAACAGAATACAAAATGTGCATACTGCGAATTAACTCTTTTGGTTGGTTGATGCCAGGACTGCTATCCAGAGAGGCTGGGCAAGCTCTTTCTTATTCATGTGCCTTACATATTTATGACTGCATGGAGGATGGTTTACCCATTCATCGACCCTAAGACGAAAAAGAAGGTATTGTTGGATTTATTACTTCTTGCTCACCATTTGAATCTTGTATGCTGACTTACTTTCAGAGTTCTTCAATTTGATTAGTAAATGAAGATTGCAACTTTTGGAATTCTCCTTCGTATTTAATTAGAAGAACACATAAACGTAATTGCCCAATGAACTCCTATTGCGGCTCCAAGCATTAAAGAATAGCAATTTGTACTTCATTGATTTGTTTGGACATAAGGAAAATTAGTACAGCGTCACTGACCATAGTTATAAGGAATCTATATCAGAAACCGTTGCTTCGTACCTGCTGTATTCAAGGTAGATGGTCGTAATGTTTCGACTGTCAAGACTGTCATAAGATTAGCACTCTGTGAAAGTTTTATCTTTTAGTGTTGGAGCATCATGTCCACCCTTGAAACTGTGGAGAGTGCATATGTGATGCTAACCGATTCTGATCTTATCTCTCAGATTGTTTTCGTCGAGAACAAAAAACAGAGAACTACTCTGCTCGGGGACATTGATGAAAGCCAGCTCCCGGATGTATACGGAGGCAGTTTGCCACTAGTTCCCATTCAAGACAGCTAAATTTCACTCAGATAACAAGAATTTTCTCCTCATTTCTTCTCTGGCCGTAAGCCTGTACTATATAATATAAAGAAGATATTATATGGCAAAATGTGGAACAATAGCCAAAATCCACGGCTGAACTGTCCTGATGATAGGTTTATCTCTCGGTATTTATATTCTTTGTTTGAGTAATTCTTAGTGTGGTCGATTCAAAAACTTGTGGGGTTAATATACCAGATAGTGTGGTCCAATCCAATGTACTCCACTCTTCTGGAGAAATGATTCGTTTTGCCCACTCTGAGCATACAATGAAGGCGGTTTGAGCTAGAAACCGATCCGAACCGGCTCGTTCAATTTGATACCAAGCCGGTTCTTAGGAAAATCGATTTGATTCAGGATATTCAAGAACCTAGAATCGGCTTAGGACCAGTGGACTCCTTGATTCCAAGGTCCGAACCGTCGGGTCCATCTAGGAACCTACAATTCCGCATGAACCGATTCTCCCTTTATCGAAGAAATAAATTTTTTGCACTTCTCGATATTCAAGTCATGGGCTACAAAATCACTTTAACTAAAAAAAGTCCTCCATTAGACATAGTTTCTAATTATAAAATGTAATTATCAACTTTTGGTTTTACAAATGGAAAAGGATTTGATTAGCTTTGGTAGTTGTATTTCCTTTTTTTTCGCAATCAAGTCATCTGACTTTCTTGGTGGAGATGAAGACAGTGGCGAGGACAGAGTCCAGACACTGGATGAATTGCTCGATCCTATTTCCTCTTTTTGTGTGTGTGGTTGTGTGCCTGCGCGCGCAGAGAGAGAGATACATATTTTTAGGGAAAATTACACAAACCACCCCAATGAACTTTTGGTGGCAATAAATACCCACGTGACCCAAAAGAACTACGAAATAATATCCCTTATGTAATTAATTTTGTTATGGCTGTAATTCCTCAATTATTTTTCCCGCTACATGTCTTGCAAGTTGTGACTAGCCAAAAAAGAGAGATGTTTATTATTATAAGCAAAAGGGATAATGACACATACAGTCCCTGAACTCTGGCCCAATGTGCAATTTGATCCCTGAACTTTTAATTTGTTTAATGTCATCCATGAACTTTTGGTATATGTTCAATTAAGTCCCTGAACTATATGAAAATGTTCAATATAGTCCCTGAACTTGAATTAATGGAAAGGACTGCATTGAACATTTTCATATAGTTCAAGGACTAAATTGAACATGTATCAAAAGTTTAGGGATGACATTGAACAAATTAAAAGTTCAGTGGCCACATTGCACATTAGATTAAAGTTTAGGGACTAAATTGAACAAATTAAAAGTTTAGGGACAAAAATGCACATTGGGCTAAAGTTCAGAGACTGTTTGTGTCATTTTCCCTTAGCAAAACTAACGAATTAGGTTGAATTTATTCATTGCAACTAAAACTATGCATCCCAACTATGAATCTTGTCACTACTTCTTGACTATACTTTTTCGCCTTTATACCATGTTGGGCTGAGCATCTCGTTCGAGCTCTCTTGCGTGTTCAATCACCTGAAAGGCTCTTCATAGATTACTCGATATAGTGCTAATTGCCCATCACTAGGAACATCATAGACTACTGACCTCTAGCAATTTTCTTGCTTACATAGTGTCATCTGCTTGCTCTGTCTAAGCTCAATCCTGCTGCCAGTGAGTTATCCATCACCAGAAGTCTTTGCAAGAGCATGACCCTTTACTAAAATGGTGGAAACGGTTCTGATCTCGGACAACAATCTGTCTTTGAAATACATCCGACACGTGCTTCATAAAAGAGTGGCAATCATGACAAATTTGGATATTCTTCATGCCCCGTATCGTCCTCCCATCTTCGAAATGCAGAAGGGCGAAAGCAATTGCCAACTTCTCGCTGTGATAACTCAGATTGCTCTCCTTCTCCTCCTCTTCGATATCATGCAGCAAGTTGGACGTCTGCGGTGTATAACCTTGAAGCTTCAATCTGTCGATTATCGAAGTTAACAAGTCCCTGATATTTTTGCACTCCGGATGAGAATTTTCCCCTGAAACAAATTCATGAATCTCCTGGTCTGCATTGATCAGACTATACCCTGGTCTTTTGCTAATTCTCTGATCTTTCATTAAAATTCTCATCTGAGCTTTGCGGTTCCATTTACCAACTCCCCCATAGGCATTGGATAAAAGGACATAATCGCCATCGTGATGAGGATCCAGCTCATGAAGTCTTCCTCTTGCTTTTTCAGCTAAGCCAATATGGTTATGATTCACACAGGCTCCAAGCAGAGTTCTCCAGACAACTGAATTTGGCCTGATGGGCATCTTTTCGACAAATTCATATGCTTGCTCCCGACCCAGCTTGACCAAAAATGTCGACCATACACCCGTAATGCTCAACTGTTGGTTCCATACCATATTCTTTCTTAATGCTTTTGAATATTCCTCGGCCTTCCTCAACAAGTCCCGCGTGGCTGCAAGCCACTAAAACCGCAGAGAACGTTATAGAATCTGGCTGCACTCGCGATTTCTTCATGTCATCGAACAATTTGAGGGCCTCATCACCGCGGCCATGCACTGCGAGCCCGGTGATCGCCACATTCCAAGTCAACACATTTCTCTCAGGCATTTCGTGGAACACCCTCATCGATTCATTGACCGACCCGCACCTGGAGTACATGTCTATCAAAGCGGTCCCAACAGAAATCGTCCAACTCAAGCCACTTCTCCAAACGTAACAATCGACCCACCTACCCAATTCCAATCCCCTAAGCTGGAAACCGCCCAGATCACGCTGAGCAAAGTGACCCTGTCCGGTTCAAAACTCTCCACCAGCTGCATTTCCCGAAAACAAGCCAAGGCATCGTACCCAGATCCATTATTCGCGTAACACCCAATCAAGGACGACCAAGACACCGAGTCTCGCTCAGGCATTTCGTCAAACACCTTCCGCGCCGGCGCCACCTCGCCGACCCCACCCGTACGCGCACTGATCAGCGCGTTCTAGACATAAACGTCGGAGCCGAGCCCGAGCTTCGCGATCAAGGCGTGAAGGCCGTGGCCCATCTCCCGGAGGCGAGAGCAGGCCTTGAGGACGAAAGGGAAGGTGAAGTTATCGGGCGAGACGCCGCGGCGGAGCATCTGGGCGAAGAAGGATTGGGAGTGGGGAGGGGAAGAGCGGGCGTGGGATCTGATGATGGGTGTTGCGAGCGACAGCGTCGGGAGAGGAGATACCGGCGAAGAGAGAGGGGGCATGGGGCAAGCTCTCGGGGGCGGAGGCGGCGCACGATAGCAGGAGGAGGCGGCGGCGTCGTCCTGGAGGCCGGTCTTGATGACGTGGGAGTGGAGCTTGTAGACATTTTTGTTCATGGACGATGTTCTCGCATTGCATTGCCGGGTCTCGTCATGTTAGCCCACTTTGATTTATGCATGGAGCCTGCTAACTAGTTTGAATTTTGCAATTGGGTCCTTTTCCCGTCAATTGTGTTGTGGTATAGCGGCTCCTTCTATTTTGCTGACAATACATCATTATTCATGAACTGTATCTTGACAAGTGGAGCTTACGTCCTATGTGGCATTCACGTCAGCAACATGTTAAAAAAATTCTTATCTAACGGAAAAAAAAAAGAGAGCACACAGGCCTTAGCATTGACGAGCGCTAACTATTCTCCACGAAATTTGTCGGCCCTATCTCCGGAGAGGTCGAGCCAGCCCTCCCCGGCATCGGACCTAGCTATAGGTAATTACAATGGTTTGGTCTGTGTTGGCAAGGCCAATACCTTATACTCTAATTCGTCATACTATGGTTTTCACGTCACTGCTGCATAAATTCTCATGCAAGATTTTCCATCACTTAGTTTTCTGGAAAATTGAGAAACAATAAAGAGTCTTCCATTGTCGTTGCCAGATTCGGTGATACCGCCTTTGCCTTTACCTTCACCTTCATCAATGGCACTGCAAGCACAAATAGATCTGGCATGCACGAGAGTAAAATGTTATGGATCCGTGGTCGATGATCCCAATCCACCTTCAATCCAAGGTCCCATATGAGATCGATGACCTTGTTCCATCACGCAAGAGAGAGAGAAGGGCGCTGAGTTTTTGCAACTGATGGCTGGCGTTTGGCGGAGCAACAGCAATGATGGTGGCAGCGGTAAGCGGATCGGACTAAGGGGAAACTAGGGTTTATGCCGTGGCGGATCTTGCTGACATATAACTTGAAGCAGAGAAGCTCATTAGAAAAATATTTTCATCTTCTCAAGAAGCAGAATTTCCATGAAAACTGCGTGATAGTAAATCAAGAGAAGAGATCAACGCAGATCTGCAACTTCCTGTTTGTTTTATCTCGTAACACGAACAAAACATCAACATCATATTTAGCCAGCAAAATACATATAAAAAGTATGCCATTCGTTTGCTACCTCGGATATCCCCCAAAAATGTGACAAATTACATTGTATGTTTGATTCTAACTGATGTAAAGTTAAGTAAACTATAATATCGGTAACTCAACTATTCATCTTCAGCAGATGCAGATGTATGATGTGGGAAACTCGACCATACATCAGACCAGGTCCGGTGCCCATCAATTACCTCCTTCACAACTGAGGCCACTTCCCCCACACTCACTCGAACTTGATCTTTGCTGTCCCTCTCTCGAATGGTCACATCAACTTGAGAATCGACAGTAATTGCAAAGGGCACACCAAGCTCATCGGTTCTTGCATATCTCTTCCCTATTGTGTTGCCTGTAAATATAGCCAGGGCACAAGTAGCAGATGATCATCCAATGTAACTTTGGTGCTTTCACCAAGGACAAGAAAGTAAAGCTCGATCCGATATACAGCTAATTAACAAAACAAGTTCTCATCTAATTTATTTGTGTATCATTCAAGTCTGCAGACCTGACACCAACCTTAACAGTTCCCACAAATCATAGCCAAGATTTTAACAAGAAAAAAGGGAAAGAGGAAAGAGAAGATGATGCCCATTAATGGAGCTAATCCAAGCATAAGGAAAAAATAATACAATCTTAGAAGAACAGGCAATCAAACCCCTCTAGAAAATCCCCTTACATTGTGAATAAAACAAAAAAGGAGTGAACAAAATATAGTATTCATGTACACACATACGAAAAGGAAAATGCTTCACAAATTATAGCTCCGTTTTTAAGAAAGAAAAAGCAAAGAGGATAAAGATGTCCGTCAAACTTTGGAGCTGATCCTAGCATGAGGATAAATGAAAACAGTTTCAAGGAACGGACACTCACACCCCTCCATAAAATACCCTTCTATGGTGAGTAAAGAAAAGAGAGTGACCAAGATATAAGCACCATGTAAATATGTACAAAAGAAACTCATTTCACGCAAGAATTAAGAACCTAAATTCTATATTGGATAAGTACCTGTAATGTCAATCTTGTGTGAAACACCAGCCACAGTCAGTGATCTGCTAATAAGTTGAGCAACTGACTCATACTCTGGCTTCTGAATCAATGGGAAAACCGTACACTTGATAGGTGCCACGAGTGGAGGGAAGCGGAACACATTTAGTTGTTCATCCCCTGCTTTGCTGGGCCTTGTATAGAAAGAATGCTCATAAAGGCAGTATATTATGCGTCCAATGCCAAAAGACGGTTCAATAACAGACGGTGTAAAAACCCTTTGATTTTCCCTTATCTTCTGCTTAGAAATCTTAACCATGTTATCCTTGATTATTACACTCTTCCCCAATGTGCATACGAGAAATTCAGCCTCTCCTTTGGATTCTAAAGCTGCCTTCAACTGCAAAGCTTCCTCTTCACCCATTGCCTGGTATTAACAAGACAAATGCAAGCATAAACTAAAGGAAGAGATTCCTAATATACTTAGCAAAAGAGCAAAAACCAAGGAATCTCCAGCGTATACCTCCAGAGATTCAACAACCATCTTTTGGTTTCCCTTAAAGGCAAGACCGAGTTTCTTCTTGTTTGAAGAAATTACCAGTTTCTGCATTTATACTTCAATTAGTTAAGTCATGATAACAAACTCAAGCATTTACAAATAAAGGGCAGACACCTGCTCCATGTACTCCAAGAATCGCTAGCAAAGTTAACTAGTCTGAAGAATTACCTCCACTTCTCTGGGTTCAGCAAATTTTTCATGGGCAACAAGAGCAACCCCACTTTTCTCCTGTCATATGATAACAATCATCACTCCAATTACATGCCTCAGTAATTAGCAGAACATATACATTTCTAAACTTTCTCTTATCCAAGATTCAACCCCCTCAAAATGGGCCGGATAATGTTTTGCTTCAAACAGTATATTAGACAAAAGAATATAATTGTGCAACAACGAATAACATATGTCGTCCAACAAATGGCTGCCACACAAGACGGCTAAAAAGAGAACCTATACAATGCAACAAAACCACACCTTGCTATACAGCGATCATTGAAGAAAGAAGTACTGTGGATGAAATGAGAAATAAGTATTATTAATTTCTTAGGCATGTTGGCAGTAATGATTCACATTCCATAACTTTGCTTCTGCTACCTAAAAATTAGAAACAGGACAAAGAGTTCTGGAAGATTTCAGACAGACACAAGATGACCTTACAATAAAATCATTTCACTTATTGAGATAACAAAAGATGCAGCTGTTTCTTTCAGTATCCTGAACGTGCGCCTTCTCCAATAAAAAAAGTACTTGAAAAAAGGCAACATAATTCTTACCGTATGTGCTCGTAAATCATATGCTGACCTATCTGCAATACCAACACACTCGATCCAACCATAGGAACACTCAATTTCAGCATCCCAACAATCTGCTGCATAGTGAGCCATTTCGTTTGCAAGATGTTGCCTAAACCGCAAGCGATCCTTGTCTATGCCGAGGCGAGTTAAAAATAGATATACTCTCCCAATGAAGTAGCCAAGAGTCGCATTGTTCACAGTTCCCTAAAAATAAACATCGAAATTTGTGAGACTCAAAGTGAACAAGTTAGGGGAGGAAAAATCAAGTTGAAAAGATGATTCAAGCTAACCTTTGAAACTGCTTCACCAAGCTGAGTTTTAATAGCAGATTGGCCAGACATTTGTTGTTCCCTTGGGAACATCAGAAATTTCAGATCTGCAACTTGAGAAAACTTTGGATGGGATTTATCTTCTGGATCAACAAAATGCTCGATCTCAGCGAGAGTGAACTCACGAACTCTTAGAAGACCTTGGCGAGGAGAAATCTACACGTGTGAAAAGCATTAGAATCAATCGTAGACTAAAATATAAGGACATGGTGAAGATAATGACAATAACTAAACTACAGCATTGGAGACCGTGTTTTCAGCCCATTGACTAACAAGACAATCAAATCTTACATGTAACGCAGTCTTACGACAAGTTATGCTACGCAATAGTATCAGAGCAGAGATCATGCATACAACCGAAGCATGTAAACATGAACGATTTAAGATGATCAGAAAGAATGATGTACAACCTCATTTCTGAAAGCCTGACCAATCTGAGCAGCAGCAAAGGGGAGTTTATTGCCGTTATAATAATAAAGGTCTTTGAAATTGACAAAAATGCCTTGTGCAGTTTCAGGTCGCATGTACCTGCAGTAGATTGAGAAAAAAAAAACTAACGTAAATCTCAAAGACATAAAACCAAACATATACAAAACCAAAAGCTACAATAACAATTATGAAACAGGAACTTAATTCACTTGAAATCTGCACCATTGGCATGACAGCGTGACATCCATTGGTGGTACTTACCCGGGGAGCAAACCAGATGGGCCTATGGACGTTTGAAACATCAAGTTGAACGGATAGGGATCGGAGAGAGCGTTTTTGGTGTCAGGAGCTGCGATACCATATTCTTTTATCTTGGCACCCAATTCATCAGCAGAGAGATCATCCAAAGTTGCAAGTACAAGCTTTAGTTCCGCAGCCTTCTCTGCACTAATGCTCAAATCCTTTTGGAGCTTCTCGTTACAAAAATCTTTGAGCAGATGGTCAGCTCGATAGCAAGTCCCAGTTTTCTCATCCTTCACCATAAGGTCAGTAAACTTGTCCACGTGACCCGACGCCTTAAGGACAATCTCCGGAGTGACACAAGGGCAGTCGACCTCCAACATGTTCTCCTCGTGAACAAAATGCTAATAATAGAAATAAAAAGATTAACACACTTAGACCCAGTGAAAATGGATTCTTTTCTTCTGATAACAGTCAAACAAATGTTTAAAGATTATCATCTAATCTACACACGGTTCTGCATCCGGGCATTTCCCATATGGGCACAATACGCACATGTAAAGATCCAGAATAACACAAGAATGAGGAGACATTCCTCATCCATGGCCCTAGCTCAGCAACATTGACAAAGATAAAAAGGAAAAAACACACTGCTATGATGTTGTAAACAGCCGTAAGTGGGCACATAAATTGAACCAAATCACACATTTCCACCTTGAAGTCTCTGGGAAATGATCTCCAGCGAACCTAAACGCCCATCAGAACCTATTTCCAGTTACTTCACTCGGATTCTCCTCAGAACTCTCTCTAGAGAATGTGAATTTTGACAAATCATCAAACGATCGTCTAACTAACTAAATTAAGGGAAACGATCGATCCTTTGAAACCCATAAATTCAAATTCGGCCTCGAAGGGAAAGCAAAATCACTAACACCAATTCGCAACGACAAACTGTTACCGGCTACAGCATCTACTACTGTCGCGACAATTCAACTCGAATCCACGGCTAACCTGACGCCAGTACGCCAAGACGTTGGACTTGACGGCGCAGCCGGGCGGGCCGTAGTCGTAGAGCCCCGCGACACCGCGGTAGATCTTGAACGAGGGAATGTAGAACAGGCGGCGCTCGAGCGTGTTGACCACGGCGTGGCGGAACGCCTCCCGGGTGAGGGCGCCGTCGCCGGCGCCGGAGACGGCGGCCTGGAGCTGCTTCTCGACGCCGGCCTTGTCGATCTTGAGGGCGTTGAGGGCGGCGATGGCGGCGTCGATCTCCGGCTTCGGGGCCTTGCCGGCCTTGAGGGCGCGGACGGCGTTGCCCTGGGCTTCGACGGCGGCCTGCTTGTCGGCGAGGGCCCTGCGGAGCGCGTCCTCGGCGGTGCGGTCCATCGCGGCGGCGGCTGCGGGGGAGGCGGTCGGCGGCGGAGGCGGAGGGGGAGGAGGTCGGCGGGGGAGGGAGAAGAGGCGAGGGATGGAGAAGCGAGAGGCGAGGGGAGTGGATGAGGCGAGCCTGGCGAGGAGCGAAGAAGAAGAAGATGATGACGATGACGAAAATAGTGGCATGCGAGAGTGTCCTCGCGGCTGAGGGAGATAAATATCTTGTGCTGCTGCTGATGCTTAGGGTTTTTGGAAAGGGGGAGGGAGGGAGGGAACGAGTGGGGGATACTTTTTTGGGATTCTCCCGATTTTTTAATGGAAATTATTATTATTTTAGATAATTACACAAATAGTCCCTCAACTTTATTCCAACGTACGATGTAGTTCCAGAATTTTTAATGTAGTCCCTGAAATTTAGCATAATATTTAATATAGTCCCTGAACCTTAAATTTATTTAATGCGATCCCTGAATTTTTTATATATGTTCAATGCAGTCTCTGGTTATTAAAAGTCCAGGGACCACATTGCACATCGGGCATAAATTCAGGGACTGTTTGTATCATGTTCCCTTATTATTTCCAATGGACGGATTGGACGGTTACACGCGGAATTTTAATGTTTGGCGACCTTGGTAATTGTTAAAATAAAATAATATCATTCACCGTCGTTCGACAAGAAAATTTACGAGATCATCGTGTGCTTGAACTTAGCTGAGTAACCGAGTACTCTCATATGTCGATAATTCACTGATAATTGTGTAAATTATTTGTTAACCCAGACAATGGATCTAATTAAAAGTCCAAATAGCTATCTTCTCTAAGTATGTTTTAAGAGTGTCGATTGCTCAAACTGAAGCGAGATAATGTTCCAATGCCGTGTCTAGTGATGTGGTATGTCCAATCATCAAATAATTGTAGCCAAAAACGTGAAGTTGCCGGAGTGTATTGTTGTGTGTGCGATTAGATAGGACAATATTAAGGATACTTGTGGAAACATGAATAAGTGCATTGGAAGTCCTAAAGTTTGTCACTAGGATGTAATTGAGTTATAAAAACTTACAAAAAATGCAACAAAGTCCCAAAACTTGTCAAATTAGGGCAATCAAGTCATTCTATCAACTCCGTCCAATTTGATTAACGGATATTGAAAATGTGGACATGACTCTGTTTATTAGTTTCTTTATCTTACATGACAATGACGTGGTTAAATTAGATAATTGTACTAATTTCTATCAAATGTTGTACTAGGTAGTTGTATTCCCTTTTTTTATTCACTTTTTTGCAATCGAGTCATCTATCTTCCTAAGTGGATATGGAGACAATGGCGGGGACAGACTCGAGACTTTGAATGGATTGCTCGATCCTATTTTGTGTGTGTTGGATTGTGTGCCTATGTGCCTGCCCGATCGTAGAGAGCAAGAGATTTTTTTTTAACTCTAGCTTTTTTCGATTTTTTTGTTTATCTTTTTATAGGGAAAATTACACAAAACCCCCCGTGAACTTTGGTGGCAGTACATGTTTTCACCGGTGTTTTAAACATTAATTTTGTCACAACCGTTAATCCTCAGTTTTTTTTCCTCTGCTACATGTGTGCATATGACTTTAAGGGGTCAAAGTATATTTTCATCTTATTTTTTTAAAAAAACTCTTTTTATTCTAATTGTTGTTAAGAAAATAAAAATATAGAAAATGAGAGAAAAATAAATTAACGAAAATTGCTAACAACAAAAGAAAAGAATATAAATAAGAGCAATAAATAATCAAATGTTGTAAAATTATACAAATATAGCCAATTTAATAGAGTTATATGATATTTTAATAAAAAAAAAGGTTAATACCACAAAAAACTCAAAACTAGTACACTCATGATAATTTTACCCTGAACTATTTTTTTGACCACCAAAAATCTTATACTGGTACAGTTGTGATGATTTTACCCCGAACTAATTTTTTGATCACCAAAAACCCTAAATTGGTACACCTGTGATCATTTTACCCAAAACTAATTTTTTGACCACTAAAACCCCCAAAATGATGCATTTATGACAAATTTACTCTCTGTTAATGTCCGTTAAATTGGATTAACATCACGAAAAATCACAAATTGGTAAACTTGTCACAAGTAAAGGGGTAAATCCCCAAACTGGTACACTCGTCAACTGCCACGTGTAATCAAACTTAGCAATTTGACAATAAAATTTAACAGAAACTAACTTAGGGTAAATTTATCACAGGTGTACCGGTTTAGGATTTTTATGGTTAAAAAATTAGTTTGGAGAAAAATTATCACAAGTGTACCAGTGTGAGATTTTTTATGAAAAAAAAAATAGTTCGAGATAAAATTGTCATAGGTATACCAATTTGGGGTTTTTTGTGGTAAAAAAATAGTTCGGGTAAATTTATTACGAGTGTACTAGTTTGGGGTTTTTTGTAGTATTAACCATGGAATATAAAGTAAACTTCATCATCACCTAGAAAAAGAGATCATTAAGCACTCTAGAGTTTGGTCCATGCGCCAAGTAATATGTTTTAGAAATTCGTGATCTGCCAATTTTTTTTGAAATTCTAACAACATTTTTTAAATAATTGGTTCACGGGCTTTCCGTAGGCACAAAAATTGAGTTAATGGGATATCGAATGAAAAAGTTATGCTCGATCAAAATTTGATCCAATTTAATTAAAAATATATATAAATATAATTTCTTTTCATAATTTTCTCGATGAAATAGTTTTTTTTTGTTTGTCCTATTCTAATTTTCAACTCATTCTTAGACTTTTGCTCTGTCTTTTGTAGGGTGTGAGAGTCAAAATTCACATCTAAAACTACATGTCTGCACCCCTAACCCCTTTGAGAAGGTGGGGATTCGAACTCCCCACCTCCCCTTCCCAAGTAAAAATAGTGGCCACTAGCACAATCAAATTGTTTAAAATGCTTAATCTTGTGGGATTTAGAACTTTCTATTCATTTAAGTTATTTATATTGTTTAGCTTTTCCCTTAAGACCAATTTATCAACTCTACCTCAAAATCATCAAGGGCACTCTTATATCTTCAACACATAAGATAACACCTCTCCACATTGTCTTCAAATTTGGGAGGCTCTATATGCTATCACTTGGCCATGAGGCCTTTGCTAGTTTTTTCAAGTTTTTATATTTTCTAACCTGCTGATGTTGGCATGGTTTTGAAATCAATTAGCTGTAATTTGACGTAAATGCAGATTGACAAGTATTTGATTCTTTAGAAATGAATGCATTGAAGGAGAAAATGGGATAGCAACACAGAGAAGGCGATTAAATGAGAAGACGACACGTGGCGCCACGTGTCGTCCATTCAATAGTCTTTTGGAGGAGAAAGTTTTCCTTGAAAAAGCTTGAGAGACAGAGACCTTGAGACCCCTTTCTCTCTCGAGAAATTTTGTACCTTCTGATTCGGGTGATCGGATTCGTGCTTTTTTTGCACTTCGTTGATATCCTTATATGATCATTTTGTTCTCATTTTAGAGAGAGAAGAGAGCGAGTGGGGGCTTGAGGATGATGGAATAGCGCTTTGACTTGGACAGTGAGAGTAGCTTTAATGGCAGCTGCAACACCTTTAGCCGTCTCTCCTTCTATGCGAGGCTGCTTGACCACCACCATGGCCATAGTTCCGCCTCTGCCGCCAAGTCCCACCGGTCCTCCTCCGTTACATCCTGAGGCTTGTATTCCCCGACTACTAGCTCCATCGACGCATAGGATCCGGCGCCGTCAACAACATCTACCTCAGTAGCCACGACGGCGTCTTTTTTTTCACTGAATGACTCAGGTGTACCGTTTTAGGATTTTTTGTGGTAAAAAAAATAATTCAAGTAAATTTGTCACGGGTGTACCAGTTTGGGATTTTTCGTAGTATTAACCCTAGAATATAAAGTAATATTCATCATCACCTAGAAAAAAAGATGACTAAGCTCCCTAGAGTTTGGTCTATGCGCCAAGACATATGTTTTAGAAATTTGCGATCCGACAAATTTTTTTGAAATTCTAACAATATTTTTTAAATAATTGGCTCACGGGCTTTCAGTAGGTACAAAAATCGAGTTAATGGGATATCGAATGAAAAAGTTATGCTTGATCAAAATTTGGTTCAATTTAATTAAAAAATATATAAATATAATTTCTTTTCATAATTTTCTCAATCAAATTATTTTTTTTTTGTCTGACCTACTCTAACTCTCAACTTACTCTTAGACTTTTGCCATGCCTCTTGCAGGGCGTGGGAGTAGAAACCCACATCTAAAACTACACGTCCGCACCCCTAACCTCCTGAGAAGGTGGGGATTCGAACTCCCCACCTCCCTTTCTCAAGTAAGAAGGTTGGTCACTGACGTAATCAAATTGTTTGAAATGTTTAACCTTGTGGGATTTAGAGCTTTCTATTCATTTAAGCTATTTATATTGTTCGGCTTTTCCCTAAAGGCCCATTTATCAACGCGGCCTCAAAATCATCAAGGGCACTCTTTTATTTTCAACACATAAGATAACAGCCCTCCATATTGTTTTCAAATCTGGGAAGCTCTATATGCTGCCACTTGGCCATGATGCCTTTGCTAGATCTTTCAAGTTTTTTTATTTTCTAACCTGCTGATGTTGAGATGATTTTGAAACTAATTAGCTGTAATTTGACGTAAATGCAGGTTAACAAGTATTTGATTCTTTAGAAATAAATGCATTGAAGGAGAAAATGGGAGAGCAATACAGAGAAGGCGATTGAATGAGAAGACGACACGTGGCGCCACATGTCGTCCATTCAATAGTCTTTTATAGGAGAAAGTTTTCCCTGAAAAAGCCTGAGAGACAAAGACCTAGATATCTCTTTCTCTCTCGAGAAATTTTGTACCTTCTGATTCGGGTGATCACATTCGTGCTTCTTTTGCACTTCGTTGAAATCCTTATATGATCATTTTCTTCTCCTTCTAGAGAGAGAAGAGAGCGAGTGGGGGCTTGAGGATGATGGAATAGCGCTTTGACTCAGATGGTGAGAGCAGTTTTGGCAACAGCTGCAACACCTTTAGACGCCTCTCCTTCGACGCGTGGTTGCTTGACCAACACTATGGCCACAGCTCCGCCTCTGCCGTTGAGGCCCACCGGCCCTCCTCCGCTGTGTCTCGAGGCTCGTATTCTGCGACTACTGGCTCTAACACAGCATAGGATCCGGCGCCGTTAACA